GACCGGCTGCCCTCATCATGGAACGGAGCCGCAAGAGGGAACGCGAATCCCCAGCAACAAAACCGCTGCCCCACAAAGAACAGTCAAGACGACCGGGGACCCCATCCCTTCCGCAGATTACACGGTGCATCTACCTCCATCATTGCTAACACATAATGGCACCGAGGGCTCGTGTTCCTTGGTGGGCGGGTCGGTGGGACCATTATGTGCTTCCCCCATTTGCAATAAAAATACCGTTTCTTTGGAAGAAGTGCCTGATGAGGAAGACAACTACAGCTACCGACAAAGCCTCAAGGCACATCCAGAAGGGGAAGACCTGGTGATTCACACCGAGGAGTACCCAGAAGATTATGAAGTAACGGAACTCGAGGAAGAGTACTACAATGACAAATGGGACAAAGGGTGGCTCAAACCGCATAGCGCAGAGTGGGTGCAAAGAAAGATGAGGCAAGAAAAGACCATGGAAGGGAAACTCGCCACCCTCCGAATGTGGGTACATCCCAGGCGATTAATAGAGGTAGATGAGGATCTCGTTCTAGACCTCATCGGATCATCAAAAGAAACGTACTGACAACGGGAGCAGTGTCTCCAAAATATGCAAGATCTCAGAATACCCCCACAATATATTTGAGGAGGGCACGGAAGGAGTGTCAACATACGAGTACAAATCGAAACCCTGGACACCAGCCAGACACGAGCAGTAGACGCCCTTGTAGACAGCGGATGCACTGGGAGCTGTATCAATCGCTCGTTTGTAAATGAGCACCAGCTCAACACAGTAAAACTACCCAAAGCCCAAGCAGTATATAATGCCGATGGAAGCCGCAACAAGGGCGGAGACATCATGGAAGTGGTAGAATTGCGCATGACCATAGGAGATCACCACGAAAAGATCGACTTCGCTGTCGTGGACCTAGGCAATGTCCAGATGTTCCTCAGACATGACTGGTTGAAAAGACACAACCCAATCATCGATTGGAAAACAGGAGCCGTGTCCCTAGCGCGATGTACATGCCGAAGAATACCCTTCCAACTACCAGACGAAGACCCTGAACAAAACTGGGGAATGGAGGTAGAAGAAGGAGACACCATCCTAATAATCGACTTCGAAGAGGCGTTTCAAATCCGAGCGATGGGTAGCAAGGCCAACGAGTTAGCTGCCAAAGCAAACAAAGAAAAGGGCACAAAGATGTTTGAAGAGATCGTACCGGAAGCCTACCGGGATTATCAAGACGTCTTTGCAAAAGAAAACTTTGACGAGCTGCCACCTCGCAAACCGTGGGACCATGCAATCGAACTCATCCCAAACGCAAACGCTAGCCTAGACTGCAAGGTGTACCCTCTTAATCCCGCTGAACAGGAAGAGCTGGACAAATTCCTAGATGAAAATCTAGAGTCCGGAAGGATCCAACCATCCAAATCCCCCATGGCCTCACCATTCTTCTTCGTAAAAAAGAAGGATGGGAAGCTCCGACCCGTACAGGATTACCGAAAGCTAAATGAGATGACCATCAAGAACCGATATCCCTTACCTCTCATCGGGGAATTGATGGATCAACTCAAGGACGCCAAGTATTTCACAAAGCTAGACGTACGATGGGGGTACAACAATGTACGAATCAAAGATGGGGATGAGTGGAAGGCAGCCTTTCGCACGAATCGAGGGCTATTCGAACCCATGGTAATGTTCTTCGGACTAACCAATTCGCCCGCAACCTTTCAATGGATGATGAACGACTTGTTCAAGGAGCAGATTGCTCGAGGGGATGTCACAGTATATCTGGATGATATCCTAATCTGCACCAAAGACAAGGACAAGCACCAGGCCGTGGTACGGGAGGTATTGGCTATCCTTCGCGCAAACAACCTCTTCCTCAAGGCGGAAAAATGCAAATTCGAGGTATTAGAAACCGAATACCTCGGAGTAATCATCAGTCAAGGATCCATCCGCATGGACCCTGTAAAAGTCAAAGGAATTACAGAGTGGCCCCAGCCAACAAAGAAACGGGAGTTGCAGTCATTCCTAGGATTCACCAACTTTTACCGAAGGTTCATTCGGGACTATAGCAAGCACGTACGACCGCTAACTCAGCTCACGGGAAAAACGGAGTGGATATGGGGAACAGTGCAAGAAAACACATTTCGGGAAATAAAAAGGAAGCTGGCCGAAGAAGTAGTATTAGCCATACCTACCCGAACGGGGAAATATCATGTAGAAGCAGACGCAAGCGAAGGAGCCATAGGAGCAGTCCTGTCCCAGGAACAGGAAGGAAAGTGGAGACCAGTGGCGTTCCTGTCAAAAGCCCTAACGGTGACGGAACGAAATTACGAAATATACGACAAAGAGCTGTTGGCCATTATGTTGGCCCTCGATGATTGGAGGCATTATCTTATGGGTGCCCAGCAGGACTTTGAAATCTGGACGGACCACCAAAACCTGCAATATTTCCGAAAACCTCAGAAGCTCAATCGTAGGCAAGCGCAATGGGTAACGGAGTTGGCCAAATATCATTTTACCCTCCATCATAAACCGGGCACTGCCAACAAGAAGGCAGACCTTCTATTGCACCGAGCAGACCATGACCAGGGAGGGGACGATAATCAAGAAGTGGTGGTGCTTAAACCAGAGCATTTCCGAGCCCTCATAATGCCTGGAGAGGAGGAGATACACAAAAGAATCAGAACAGCGCTACGAGATGTAACCCGGTGGGACAAAGGAATCGAAGCATCCCTTCACCATCCCCGAGGAATAACCCAGAAAGACGGGTTGATGTACTATGACGAACGACTGTACATACCTCGCGATGCAAAGCTGCGAGGGGAACTTATTGCCTACCATCACGATCACATCACGGCGGGACACCCAGGTATTGAAAAGACCAAAGAACTCGTACAGAGGGAGTATTGGTGGCCAAAGCTCAAGCAGGATGTCGAGAAGTATGTCAAGGGATGTGAAGCGTGTCAATGAACAAAGACCAACACCCAAAGGAGGAGGGTGCCCCTACACCCACACGCAATACCTTCACGACCATGGGAGCACATTACCGTTGACATGATCGGCAAACTACCGGACTCCAACGGCTATAACGCCATCCTCATGATTGTTGACCGTTTCTCCAAAGAAGTGATTCCGGTCCCCTGCTCCACAGACCTAACGTCCGCAGGATGGGCATGAATACTCAGAGATCACGTATGGGCAAAACATGGAATGCCACAAAAGGTGATCTCTGACAGGGGCCCGCAATTCGTATCCAAATTCATGAAGGAACTATACGAAATGCTACACATACAAGGAAACCCCTCAACCGCGTATCATCCTCAGACCAATGGACAAACGGAGAGAGCCAACCAGGAGATTGAAAAATACCTTCGAATCTTCATTAACCATCGGCAGAATGATTGGAGTGATTGGTTGCCCCTTGCGGCGTTCCAACACAACAATCGAAAACACTCGGCCACGGGATATTCCCCGTTCGAAATAAACCACGGGCAAAAACCTCATCTTGCACCACTGACAATCAAAGAAGGAACCAACCCAGCTGCCAAGGACTTCATCGCAGAAATCCAAAAAATACACGAACAGACAGCCACAGCCTTGGAGAAGGCAGCGGAAGCAATGAAACGCCAATACGACAAACACCAACGTCCCTCGATTGAATACCAACCGGGCGATAAAGTCTGGTTGGACTCTACCAACCTTCATCTCCCCTGACCAATGAAAAAGCTTGGAGATAAACGGGTAGGACCGTTTGAGGTACTTGCAAAGAAAGGCGCCTCCGCCTACGAATTGAAGCTACCTTCCACCTGGAAGATTCACAATCGATTCAATGAAAACCTTTTAACTCCATATCATCCGCCAGAATTCCCAAACCAAATACAGCCCACAGCACCTCCACCAGACCTCGTAGATGGACAAGAGCAATATGAGGTGGAAGAAATTGTAGACCGCTGAGAACGCACGGTCGGAAGAGGCAGAAGACGGCATACAAAGGTCGAGTACCTAATCAAATGGAAGGGATACCCTCGAGAGGAAAACACCTGGGTCGATGAACAAGAGCTCGACAATGCAAGAGAGGCAATCGAAGACTTCGAACAAGTCTCCTTTATTACCTGACTGCTGGGAGACTGGTGGGCAGATAGCGACGATACCGATTCCTGGTCAGAAACAGAATCAGTAACCGAATCGGAAGTTGACCATCCCCTAGTCCAAGCAATACAAGAATATTTGGTCAAACCAAATCCCGACACGATAAAAGGGGGCTACCTACCAAGAAAAAACTCTATCGCAGTTGGGACGACTGCCTTAACAGGGGGGTAATATTACGATTCTGCGCTTTATCTTATCTTATCAGCCTCATCATAATCCTGCTATGCTAAATATCTGACTCAGATCGCATTCCACCATGCTAGTACCGTGTGTTTAACGCACCGTTACAGACTCTTGTACTATACTTAGAATGACTCAAACTGTATTTAAGTAGCTCGACTGCAGGTCATAAACCTCAGTCTCGAACTAAAGTTTATTCACCCGATAACTTAGTCTGAACTCACTCTCGACTCGCTAAGCGGTAGCTCCCTGCACGCAAACCTGCGAGCAACATAAAGCGCCTGACCGAAGTGCGAGTCACGCTTAGTTGTTTGATCTTGTTTGTGTAATCGGTCGCTAACATTGGGAATCTGGAGGTCAAGCATTAGTTTCCCTCAACTTACCTCAATTGAAGCTTATTAACCCTTTCCATAGGCATGAATGCATCCTTGAAGAGACAAGTCTTAGAAGCAGAGATGAAGGCTACCCTTTTGATGGACCTTGTGCAAAGTGGTGTGCCAATTTCAGGGTCTTCAATGAGTGTCAGACCAAGCTACCAACTTCCTGACATTAATGGGATCAACAAAGGAATCAAAGTGGCAAAAAGAAAAAGCACATTCTTTACATGTGGAAATTTCAACAAAACTAATGGATTTTTAAAGATGCAACACCCTATGAGAGGACCCTCACAGCAATGTTACCACCCAGACACCCAGGCAGCCAGATTGCGGGTTATTCTGCTGCTCATCTTGACTATCAAAGTGAGAGGGAACGACACTGGTGCCTCATGACAGAAGGAAGACAGGACAAACAAGCAAAAATTCTAGTTCAAATTCAAAAACCTAATAACAAAATGCAAAAGGGAGACCACTTCTTTGTAAGCCCATTTTTTCTATTTTTCATGCATCTTAATTTAAATGTGTGGACATGGTTAAACAGGCTATTTCAGAAGGTGTCAATTTCTATGCAAGAGAGCCTGCTTACAGAGTAAATGCTCTTGTGATGGACCAGCTTCTTCCCCATATTATGAAAGACACATGTGAAAGGGTTTCCTTTCAATGCAAAGGATTTTGTATTGTAGGATCTGCACTGGGTAAGAGTTCTGAGTGAACAATCCCAAACAGAGCCTTCAGATCTATATTCCAGCAACATTAACACCCAGAAAGCCACTGCAGAAAAACTCAAAAACCCGCCAAAACAGTTCAAATATGTGTAAAAGGCATGCCCTACCTATTTCCTTGAGATGACATGGGAAGCAGCTGTGGGATTTAACATGTGGGATGCGGAACATGATGCTGCACCTGAGGTACAAGTATTCAGCCAACTTATTCTCCAAACTGGCTGATTCTGCTGTTCAGCCCTCACCATGGCCAGTCAAGGATGATAAAGGAAAGGCTTGAGAGGTGACACAGGTAAATATCAGGTAAACTGTCTGTACACTCAAATAATGTAAATATTCAGGAATTCCATGACCATGTTCCACTGTCTTCAATCTCAGCTGCATCTTCTACCATGTTGGTCAGTGGTTGATGCATCATATGTGGGTGACCCCTCTTACACATAATCTAGACCAGTTTTCAGTTTCCCTCAAGAGGATTTGAAATTTATGCTTTGACTCCAAAACAGAAGGCAAGTACAACTACCTCCATGACTTATATCCTCATGACATTTGCTTAGCTGCCAGAAAATGAGAAAGAAGTGGATGCAGGTATAACCAGAACCCAATGCTCAGACTGGTTCAAAGAAATACCAAAACTGATCGTCCAAGGCGGGATTGTCGATGAAGAACAAAGCGAATATGGCAAGTCTCTAATTACCCTTCCGATTCTTTCTAATGTAGTTGCAGGACTCTTTGCCATCAACATGGACATCTGTAGTGTTTGGGCATCACTGGTGGGATTCTCGCACTATCCCCAGTTCTCATTTCAGCAACAGTACATTGGGTGCATCTATGCAGACTGGAATGAAGGTGAAAATGCCAGAATGGGCATTGGTAGCTTCAAGACTGCAAACAAAGGGGTCCTTCAGCTGGACATACATGTGGGAGGACAAGAGCTGGCCCTTGCCTTACAGGGGGAGGTATGCTTTAAATGCCCATTTTACTTCCCCAAGGCCAGATGGAAACCCAAGTGGTTCACAAATGAAGAAGAAAGGGTTGCTATTCTCCAGGAGGTGAACACATATCTCTGGGCCAGTGCCCTGCATGAGATGAGTGTTGCAGTTGTAAGAAGTACCACCTTCACCCTAGATCTGCCTCCCATGCTGATTCCTGATCTACAATTTGTTGAGGTTGCAGTAGTTTAAAGGACCTGACCAGTATCTGTAAAAAGGAGTTCTTGGACAGGGTTGACCACCTTAGCTGAGCGGCTGCTCCCCAAAGGCACCTTCTGGAAATACATAGCAAATGGTCAACCTCACCCCATTGACAATTTGTCTGAAGCGCAACAAGATATTACATTGTACCTGTGTTTCCTACAGCACATTCAATACCAGTACACTGAACAGTTGCACTCATATCTGACTATCAAGGTATTCTCCTTTTTTTTGCAAGGCATACACTTCTTACAGATAGCAGGATCGATGAAGTGGCTGACAGATCCCCAAGTTATGGCAGCGCCCCTGTATGTATCATGGTCTTCCCAGAGAGCAGTTCCACTGACATTTTGCAGCGTTGGTAGTTTAAGGCCTTTTAGCAATGGGAATGTTGAGGGATCTGTCGAAGATTTTTCCCTAGAACATACATGCAATGCATGGTGTCAATGGTTTCATTTAACAAAACCAAAAGATTTGATATTATAGATTTTCTGTTGAGGGTGCCTCCTTGGGTTGCAAATTTTCTCACATAAAAATTTTGTATCTGGCCTAGTACAATATGTGAAAGCAGATCCAAGAACAGAACTCACAAAAATATGATGTTTTTTCTCCAATGTCTGAGATGTCAAATGCTATCTTGAGAACATAAAACCTATAGAGCTTGACAGGTATTACACCTAAAAAGCTTTACCATCCCATTAGACAAAGTCCTAGAACCATTGTCTACTCAGTTACTGCAATCACACTGGTTGTTTTGTGGTGATTTTAGCTTACCTTTGAACAAGAGTGTGAGGATGAGGAAGATGTAGTCCTGTTTTAACCACACCCCTTACTATGATTATTGGCCCCATTACATCTGCAACCATATTTGGAAGAACCTTCTCACCACTAATATGGCTTGTTGCAACTGCTCATATTTCCACTACTCCCCTGTCTCTGCCATGCCATGACCTCAAATTTTTCTTTGAAGCTACCTGAACATCTTCTGGCACATTCAGTATCAAAAAATGAATTCCGCTCTTCATCAGATGAGACATCAGGGATACCAGGGTTTTGAGGAAAAGGGGCTCAAGCCCTTGCACTTAGTGTGTTTAATTTGATATCAGTACTTTACAAGTTAAACAGCACGTTGATAGCAGAGGATCATAGGTAGCAACCCACCGGACATATGATCACCCCAAGGTGCCAGGTTCTTAAACACATGTTTGTTGTACAACAAAAGCATACCAGGAAGGATTAAGAAAGAGGCATCCTGGCTGTTATTTTTGATCCAGATGTCGATGGGCAGAAAGCTTGGCTTCATGTCGAAGGACAGGAAAGGCATGATGGTGGTTGTAGCTGAAATGGTATGTTGGTTGATATTGCCCAGCATGATGAGAGAGATGAGGGAAGGATATGAACAAACAAAGTCAAAGTATCTGCTCAGACACAAATTGAAAGGGAAGCAAAATGAGTGGGCATGTGCCCAATGTGAGCTACCATGTGGATGATTTTGGCTCACTAAGCTATCTGGTGAAGAGGCTCTGTGCATGCCAAGCTAGAAATGCGATAGCATAGACACACTAAACACACCCACTCTCACACTCACACACATACAGAATCTCAGTAGTTCGGGGGAGGTGTGCGATGCAAGCACACAATAATGATAGAATTAAAAGATGTCTTGTGCTCTTCAAGATATAATAGCACACTAGCTCAAAAGAATTCTCTAGGTCCAAATGCTTTTAGGACAGGAGGTGAGCAATATGTATCGCTCAGCCTCGAGGCAAAAGTAATATTTCCCAAGCCCACAAACATTCCACAAGGACATACAACCCTCAATTGACGTTGTGCTGATGTGCTCGGTCACGGGCAGCACGCAAATGAAACAAGCGTCTAGATCGTCAATCTAGATACTAAATCACTCACACACACACTATCACCAATGTATATAAGTTCGAGGGTGAGTACGATAGAAGCACTCGCGATGTACTTAGATTTAGATAATCTAGTGGGGTTTTGTCCAAAAACAACTTCAATTCTTCTTTCGATGTGTTTTACACAAAGTACACTAGTCCGCGATAGCGGGGTTTTATGAACTTGTTTTGCAAGGTATAGTCGAGCAAGTTTATACTCATTTTGACGTCATCTAGAAGAGCTTCTAGCAGACACTTCAAATAATCAAACAACCAAAGACTCCGAGGTCTACAAAGAGTGCAAAATCACTCTACAAAGAACGCTCAGGTTCTGACTTCAAGTACGAGACTTGCAAAGAGTACACAGACTCTGGAGTTCCTTGAACTTGACGATTGTTCAAACTTAAAGCGTTCTAGGGCTTATTTTACTTCAACTAGATGAGGTCTTTTGACTTAAAGCCGACTCAGCACATCTAGATCGCTAATCTCGGAGAGAGAGAGCATGAGGCCTTTGTCTGTGGAGCAGTTCAATTAACTAGCAAGGTGCAAACATGGGGACAGCTCTACTTCCTACTTAACTCTTCTAGATTACTGTAGTCGCTCTTATGGGTTGACTTTGGTAACTTAATTCACTTCAGTCGAGGATATGCAATAAAACCAGTGATTGATTAGGTAGCTATACAGGCTACTAGCACAAACACGGGGGAATGCTTTCCTGCTGTTATGCGTCTAGTCACTGCTAATTTATACGATTTGTGTTCTAGGTATAGGAGCCCATATCTACAGTAATTATGGTACGAGCTTTGGAATTAATACAAACGGTGAGTCACTATCCTACAAGTATCATGCCATTCCATAGTTTCTATTCAGTTTGACATGACTGCACTGGTTTATTCTGTCGCCGAGGAGTGCCCTACTGGTCCATGGGTGCTCCTTCTTCTGTCTGCAAGGCTTGCTGCATGCCGTATGTATTGAATACTGTGGTCTGTGCAGGATCTCAAGGATGTAACCACTGATCACAATCGGCTGCAGGTCTGAGATTATATTCTGTTGATCACTGCATGATCAAGGTCAGTTATCTCAGTACCCAACATGGCTATTCATTCTTCCAAGGTTATTCCTTTCCTAGCCTGAGTTGATCTCGAAAGCTGATCTGTTTCTCGACTTAGCAATTTTTCTTGACAGGTTCTTTCTACTCGTCGAGGTGATGAGGCATCTAGTTCATTCCATTCTTCAACTTCTTGGTTTTTATACTTCATACAGACAAGTCCCCGAGATTTGACTGTAATAGTCTTGTTTAGGTAGGGCTTAGCTTGGCGTGTTGACGGCTGGTAGAATTGACTCTTCAAGATGTCATTTCTAAGTCCGTTCTGTACTGCCATGCTCTCATTCTTTATGTAGTATTTAGCTACCAGCACGAAGCCTCCACTGTAGCTCTCTGTACCGCTTATAGATTGCATAAACTGATGTAAAATCGCAAAATCTATGGGTAGCCTGATACCAGGCATATCAATGTGGGCAAAAAAGAAGCCCCACAGCCACTCAATCACTATGCGGATTTATGGTCTGGGGTGATCGAGCGAGCAGAATGCATGCTCAGGATGCATCCCCTCCTCGACTCTGGCACTCCGAAGCCCCAGAAATCATTGGAATACATTCTTATGACAGTTAGAAGTGCTTTTAGTGATTTTGTTTTATATTTTAATGCCTCAAACAGTGGTTAATATGCATTTTATTGTATATTAACCCCACTTTTAAACACTTGCTAGCATATACCTGTTGTATGCCATTCCCTGTACCATCACACCAACTCGGATGCACTTAATAAGCAAGGATATACATCATACTATCCAACCAATGCATCTGATCCATGGCAATCTGTTAGAATAAACCTCGTTATTGACATTGTTGCTTGAGTGAAGCAATATACTATTATGCTGTGTTCTCATTTCATGTACATTCATCTGACCAAAACTCATTAGTGCTGGTGTAGGTACATTTTGAAGCCAATAATAATCTAAATGAGTTTCTAACATGGTTTTCTCTGAAATTCACTCCAATTTGAATGTGTACTGTTTTATATAGCCCTCAAAAAGTGGTAAACATGCATTTTTCATCATCATTTACATGTAATGATCTATGAGATGGAAATTGTGGACAGAGAATTTATTTATGAAGTGAAAATGAACTAATAGACACTACCCAGTGTAGTTTAGAGGGCCAGGGGAGTTGCGTGGCAGTATAATTACAAGTTATCACACTGTGCACCCAAATTCACAGTGGTCCAGCAAACTCCAGAATCATTGAAATATTACTTTCTCACTTGTTATCTGTGTGCTACAGGGCTACAAGAAGGTACAGTAAGCATATGTAAATTTCATACACATGCTACAATAAAATCAAGGGCAATATACTGTCTACTATCTCCAAAATTCTGCCTGCTTTCAAAAATTGCCAGCCTACCAAAATGGGCATGATATATTCCCACGGTAAGTACATCCAAGCATGCATGTACGAATCCAGCCAAAATGAGCCACAGGTGGGTGCAGAAGAGGTACCAGTATATCAAATATTATTTTATGGACCCATACGATTTTTTTCAGACCCAGGCAATGAGCGGGAGGGTGGGAATTTCAGTGCTGTCTAAGCCAGTGCTCAAACCACCCATTTGTGGGGTGGCTGTGTTTTCATATGAGCTGCTCTTTTGCCTCAAACAGCTGCATTGGCAATCTGCATTGATTTTGCAATTTGCTCCACTGCTAAGCAGCATTGTAATTTGACCAAATTCTACAGCATGGCCTGGTGATGCCTCTTCTTGCTCATCTACTTGGCCTGGGCTGGCCAAGGTGATGATCATAATTCCTTGGTCATGGGTAGGATCCCGGATCTCCCTCTGTGTGAGTGTGAGTACGATTTCCAAGACGATGTGAGGATATCATATTCCCCTTCTAGGTGTCATCTGAGCACACAGAACATCTGCATCTTGCATCTAATGAGGACTAGCCACTGTGAGAGGGCGACAAGAGAAAAATTAATGACATGATATTAACATATTATATCAAGTGTTAGGACATTAGCTCACCCAGTCATTATGGG